GCTTCAACCAGTATACTCTCTCAAACTGCTATCAGCTATAGTGGCTCAGTATGCAACTCTAGTTCAGTCTAGAACTATAGCATGTATAAGTTCTAGCAACAGTTAACCAGTTGAACTCCTGATCCTCAGTCGTTAGGTCCCTTAACAATAAGCCTGGTCAATCTTTGAAGTGTGCAGATAGTCTGTCCAGGAGGCCAGATCATGAAGAGGGGGTGGAATTAGATAATTGCAACACAATAATGTTGAAACCAGAATATTTCACATTAAGCACAATTCAAATGGACCATGACTCCTTAGTGAATGATCAGATTGTACTCAAGAGAATCAGAAAGGCACTCGAGAACGACAAGATCACAGTGACATATCATGATCTGATGATGAAAGGACACAGAGAATTCTCTAAAGACCTAGAGGATTGGAATTTTGAAGTCGATTCTGGCTTACTGCTGTACAGAGAAAAAGTGTACATGCCTAAGGATGAGGAAATTTATCAAGAAGTCACAGAGCTACATCATGACTTGGTGGTAGCAGGACATCTGGATAGATGGAAGATGTACAAACTTCTATCAAAGAACTGTTAGTGGCCTGGAATGTCGGTTTATGTAAAGAAGTATGTCCAAGGATGCAAAAAATGCCAAAGGAGTAAAAACATAACTCAGAAAGTGCAAGGACCTTTACAGCTGAATGAAATTCCAGAGAAGCCATGGGAAGTAATAATGGTTGGTTTAATAATAGACCTACCAGAATCCAAAGGGTTCAACACAATCTGTGTGGTAGTTGACAGATTAACCAAGAGAGCACACTTCTTGCCAATAAGAAAGGAATTCACAGTGAAGGACCTAGCAGAACTAATATACCAGAAGATATGGACATTACATGGCCTTCCATTGAAAATTATATTGGACAGGTAGACACAATTTGCAGCAAAACTGTTCCAAGAATGGTGCAAACTAATAGGAATACAATCAGCAATGTCAACAGCATATTATCCACAGACAGATGGTCAAACAGAAAGAGTCAACCAGAGTTTAGAGACGTTCTTAAGGATATATTGTAGTGCACAAATACTCAACTGGGCACAGTTCTCGCCAGCCACCAAGTTTGCATACAATAATCAGGTGCATGAAAGCATGAAGAACTCTCCATTCTATATAGAATTAGGATACAATCCTAATATGCTTCCTATGGAACCCATCATAGCTCATCACCCAGCTTTAACTGACATAATGAAGAATAGGCAAGAAGCACAAGAACAAGCCAGAGCAGGGTTAGTATTGGCAGCAGAGCAAATGAAGTGGTACTATGGCAAAACAATAGAGAAAGTAACAATCAAAGTCGGAGATTGAGTTCTATTGGATGCATCAGATTTGAGACCACAGTTGTACAACAGAAAGCTCTCACCTAGACACTACGGACCATTTGAGGTAGTAGAACAATTGGGACTGGTTACATTCAAGATCAAACTTCCAAAATCTTACAGGGTACATCTGGTGTTCCACTTGTTGCAACTTCACCTCTTTCAAGAGGATAAAATTCCAGGCAGGCAACAACAGCCCCCACTACCAGTAGAAGTGGAAGGACATGAGACCAAGTATGATAGTGGAAAAGATTGTAGATGCAGGGTTAGACGACAAGAACAGAGTCATGTATAGGGTCAGATGGTTAGGCTACAACAAAGAAGCTGATACCTGGGAGTACCCAAAAGCCTTAACCAAGGTCAAGAAATTGATTAATGATTTCCACAAATGACATCTGCAAAAGCTCAGACCAATATCAAATATAGATGATCGAACAGACAAAATCTTATTTGATCAGTCAGTAAATGTCTATGACAAGGACAGTCAGTGGTGTAGATCAGAAATAATATTTGACACAATAGATGAGCAATTGCAAGAAAGGATGTATACATTCTTGCCAAGAAAGGGATCACAGGAATCAGCAGGATTCGATCTCAAGGCATACAAATCAGTGGAAATTGCATTAAAGACCAGAAAACTGGTTAGAACAGGACTCAAATGTAGCATTCCATGGAGATGTTATGGTTGTATAGCATCAAGGAGTGGTCTAGCAGTCAAAGGAATAGATGTAGGAGCTGGTGTCACAGACCGCAATTACACAGGGGAAATCAAGGTGTTCTTAATCAACAATAGTGAAACCCTGCTTTCAGTAACCGAAGGTGACTGAATTGCTCAATTAATCATCAAGAAAATTCTATACTGCAATGCCACACACAAAACAATCAAAAAAACCACAGAGAGGGGAACAGGTGGATTTGGATCCACAGGAAAATAGTTCACCAGGAGTCTCACCCTTAAAGAGGGGGTAATGTCACAGTTTTTCAGATATATTCCAGAATAAGCACATGCCTATCTTATCTTATCAGATACAGATTAGATATAGATTAGATGCACACTGGGGTATCTATGGAATAGTATAGAACCAGCTAGAAGGTTCTCAGACAAGGTTGTCAATCAGGTGACAGCTCACTAAGCCATCCTCTACAGTAAACCACATCAAAGCCCTTTACTCAGGTAACACTAGCCAGTGAGTAGTATTGGGTTAGGTTTAGAATCTAGGAGGCAATCACAGTGAGTCTTTGCGTGACAAAAACAAGGTTTGGATAAACAGGTGTCTGAAGCAATGTGAGAACTCAACAGTTAGTGCCTACATACACACACCATACCTACTGTCTAGATAGTGCCTTGGCCCTCAGCCCTTACTGAGAATAAAAGGATGAGAAGAAAAGAAAACATATGTCACAACTGCATGTGCGCTACATGCTACATGAAGTCAGCCTAGCTGCTAAAGACCATGCACAAGCTTGGGTAGACCACTAGTACAGATATATCTAGGCTCAGTATTCAGCTTTCAATCCTGAAATCAGACACATCATACTGTATGAACACAAGTGATTATAGTTGTTATATTTTGTACTTATAAGAGTGTCTTAGACAGATGCAATTTGGCTGACTTGGCAATAACTTTTGGTCCTTAATGGACTTGGTAATGATGATAAGTATGCAAAGTGTCATTAAGGTGCACTCAGTAGAAAGAGGATTTTGCTGATGAATGATCTCATGCCTAGTGTGAATACAGACCACCAAGCATCAGCACAGGCATCCTAGTGAATTACTAGTAGTAATGACACTCATTTTGTAAGTTAACTCCGGGGACAATTGGAGCATCATCAAGGTCACTTGGTTACAAGATTCCTAGCTGAAGATGGCGAAATGATAATAGCATGGCACTGCAACTAGCTGAACCACCTCAACTTTGAAATCGCCAAGACCGTAGCTACATTCAAACAATCAGACGAACCGCACGACAATCAACTAAACCTATACAAGACGTACTCAAATAGGGCATCGCGCGACTAGGTCAATATGCAGCCAAATTAAGTTATTTGTCCCCGTCAAAACTCTCCACCCACTTAGCAAGGTCCACATAACCTTGAGTCGCCTGCGGCTCGTGCCACTTAACCGTCATCGCAACGTGCGTTGTATCCGGGTACTCAATGTACGTGAGCGTGTCTGCGGGGTTGTCCGCGAGAATGCGATCGCGCAACGTCGTGACCCCGTCAAGCGTCATCTCCGCATCGCCGGCCATTATCAGTGTTGGTGGCATGCCCGCGAACTGGCCCTTGACGTGTGGCATGCGCAGGCCGCCTGGCGAGATCCAAGAGTTGTTGATGAGCTCCGACTCGGGCAGTGCACCTCGCAGCGCGTTCGCGCCCCACCCTCCCACGAACCAGTGCACGTAGTCTGAGTTGGTGTTACGCTCCATTGCAGATTCGGGTCCAACGTGTGAGCGGCCCCAGTCGGCAGTGGGACACAGGAGGAATTGGGCGCGCGGAATGGGTAATGAAGGGAAATTATTGATATTGAGGTATCGGACGAGTGCGAAGGCGAGATTACCACCAGCTGACTCGCCTGTGACGATGATATTAGAGGGTTTGAAGCCGAGAACTTTCACAAGGTAATTGTAGCCCGCCACTGCGTCGATGATTGCCGCTGGAAATGCGCCCTGGCGTAGGAAAGGCGGGCCTCGCGACTTGCGATATTCAATCTGGAATGCGCTGTTGTATCCCTCGACGGTCTCGACCATCCGCTCACAAAAATAGGCACTATCCCATTTCTTTCCCGCATTCCCAATCTGTATAAGATGTTAATCAGCACATTGAATTAGTAGAGACAAATTTGAGATAGGACTGATCGCGGTCGCAAATACACGCGTTGCTTAGGAAAGCACCCGCTATAACTCCTTCAAGCGGAGTTCAAATATGAAAACATGCGACTTCGCAGAGCAACCAAGTCGTTCAAGCAATTTGAGGGAAATCTGGTTCCCCTTGTCTATTGAATGCAAGGAGCACGCAATCGAGCCCATGACTTTGCCAAAAAAAATGGAAGCGTGTGCATTTTCAATTTAGCACCTTATTCGCGAGCCTGAATGGACCCTAGTAGTTCCAGTCGGACTCATGGGCATCTGGAGACATAGCCAGACAAAAGCAACCTTGTACTTACTACCCATCCTCCACCTGAGAACGACATGATTATGCAATATCAGCTGCTGGTTTTTGACGGCAATAAAATCATGCTATTTACCATGCAGTTCATAGAAAACTTTTTCATCGGGGCCAGCCGGTTGACTCGCGGCGTTGGCATCCTTGCCTCTCCCACCATACCATACTCCAGCGAGCCTCACAGACTCAATGTTGTTGATTTTAGCGGCCTCCTGGATCTCGCCGACGACAAGATCAGGCGTAGGCTCGACCCATACCAACTGAATACCTTCGCCAGTCCCGCCTAATTTTTCTGGATCAACGTGGACCATGTCGAATGATGTCTGGAAGAGGCCACCGAGAAGAGTACGCATGAACTTGACGCGGATCGTGCGCGAGAGTGGCCATGAGCGACGAGGACGCCACGACGGGAGGAGGTTGGTCAATGCCCAGAACGGAATACGGACGAGGAACGACAAGAAGAAGCAAATGAGGTATATCGATTTGATAGGTTCGCGGCTATACTGAAAGTATGGCAGCATGGTGGGGACGGACATGAGACTGAAGGATTAGAATTCAACCTGAGGGAGTGACCGACCTTATGTGAGCGGGCAGCCTGTCAAGTGGGGAATCCCGTGCACTGGCTTCTAGATGTGCTGCGTGTGATAGAAGTTGTTCGGATGATTACTGCGCAGAGCTGCACCTTCACTCGGAGAGCCCTGCGGCACACTACCACCAGACGCATGTCAGTGTGCGAGGCTTGTTCTTGCCTATCCCCGAACATTGGTGCCTGCAGTAAGATTGTGATTGAAGGCGAAGATGGAGTAAGTCAGTGTGAGCGCAGTTAATACGTCTCCTCCATCCGGCGCCGGAGCCACTGATTCGGCCATCTGTCATTTCCTCCGGCGCTGGTCCCAGTATATCCGCTCTCAGCCATCGGGCTTCGGGAATCTTAACAATCTAACAAGCTTCCATCATGGTTATTTGCAATTGAAATTTGTCCAGACCAATCTATGAACATGCATCGTTCGCGTTTCAAGTTCTAGATCTGTCGTGCTTGTCAAATGGCTTGCGCAGAGCCATCTCGTCATGCTCATGCTTGACTCTAGCCGTCTGGTAATGACAACCTTCCCAGAATTCTCTTGGTTTTCCGGATCATACCAAACAGTGGGCAGCAAGTTTCCGAGCGTATATTCATGTTTCAGCCGTAACATATTCAACACAAGGCATATACTCTGCTCCCAAGCTCAAATCACATGAATTCTGACTAGAGCGATGTGCTCGGAAATAAAGTTATGTACCAGAACTTGCCCTTCGTGGCGTCCCCGATCCGACTGCGGACCTCTGAGTGGCGATGGGGGTGTTGATATGATTGTATATTCCTGTTTGACGGTGTTGCGTTGTATCAATCGCGGTACAGCGACTTAGAATTGATCATCTATCCTTAGTGTTTCAGCACTGATTAGACTGCGGGGGCAACTCTTTTCCTGCATCTTCTAGCGCATGACCCGGCAGACCGGGTGTCCTTCTTTCAAATCAGAAAACGAGATTTGGAATCTGTTGGAACAAAATAGTAGTATGAACCGAACAACAGCAGCGAGATATCCAGATGGCTACGTTTGATTGGCCCACACAATATAGCGCCTCTGTATATATCTTATGTAATGCTAGATGACAGATGCGAGTTCTGTATGTGAGTCCCAGTGAGAATCGACATGAATTATAATGAGAAACTGTGCCACTCAATGAGAAAAAAATGAGATCAGCCGAATTGGTACGAATTGCCTAATTCAACTTTCTTCACGCGGTTTCAAAGCGATTCGTTGAGTGGCCCAGTTTCTCGATTTAATTAATGTCACTTCCCACTAGGTGTGAGTACTTAGCTGTGACACCGCCAGTTTTCTCTTCATCAACGCACACGCGTAAATATCACATGTGAGCTTCTCAATTAGCATGAGAGCCTACAACACACAGACAAGGGTCGCCGTGCATACAATATTGGCATCATCGTTTCTTAGTTGATCTCATGAATTTGTGACTTAATGCATGTCATATATTCCGGCTTGAAAGACCTTGGTTTCAAGTAGACTGTAGACACAATTTTTTGCTACAAGAACCCGACATAGTTTACAGATCCGGAAAACGCCATTAAATACTCTAGCATTTTTGTCTCGATCCCGTATGCAAGTAAGTAAGTGATAGGGAGGTTATCACACACCATTGAAGTTCGCTTTGATATCCTGCAGGTTATAGCTGTTTGTGCCTATATCACTGATATTCTCCTCCGTCCGAAGGACATCAATGGGCGCCCTCATATTGGGAGCAAACCGGGGTGCAGTGAGGGTTTTCGAGGACGTTCTGGTATGGAATGTATCTGTGGTTGAACCACCGTGCATGATACGCAGCCCGACACGGACCACAATCAGCATCGGAGAAAGTGTCTGTAAAGATACCCGAGCGGATTAAGATCGCGGAAGAAGCGGGTGCATTCAATGGATGCTCACAGCGACTTGCGTCACGACGTTGACGCCAAGCATGGCCTCAAGCTGTGTGGGGGTGTGCAGGTAGAGCACGACAACAATGAACGTCGCGGTAGCGAACATGACTCCGGACTCGAGGACGATGAAGATAACACCAAGATACGCGTTGTGGTCCCTGCCATCCGACCGCATACCAGCGACCTCGCGGCCGACGTGCCACAGTTTGTATGCAATTGCAGCTGTCACTCCCAAATTGATGATAAGGTCCATGATCCATCCTGTGAGCGCGGTTGCCTCGACTCGCTCGCCATTCAGCGGAACTCCGTTGAATCCAAGCACGGTAGTGGACATCGCGACACCTGTATTAGCCATGTGTGATTACCGTAGTGCATAAAGTGCTCGTAAGTACTGACCTGTGTGGACGAGCTCAAAGAAAACCTAAACAGCAACGTAAGTATGATCTACTTGTCACATTAAGTTGCAACTGACAGGGACTACGGCAATCTTCCAGTTGGCGCCGTAGACAGCGTACATACGCCAGATCTGCGATGACATGCTAAGATTGCAAGATGTCAAAGTGGGCGTGAAAATGGCACTCACAAGAATCATATCCTGAACAAAAACCTAGAGTGTGATAATGAGAATTTGGGCCCAGAATAGGGGAGAAGAACTAACATTTACAACGTATAGGACGAGTTTTACAAATGCCAGAGGCTGTGTGAAGGACAAGAAATACAAGTCTGCTTCAATCATCGAATCCACAGAGTTGACCCAATCTCCATCGATAAACCCCTTCAGGAGCTGCGTAAGGGAAATGGAAACATGCACTGTTGAGAGAGAGAACAAAAAGCAGGATGTTGCTATAAGGTAGCTAGGAAAGGGTGAGATGAACATAGGAGTAGCAAGTAAAGTACTCGCACCGATGCGCGGTGGTGACAACTTTGCGACGGAAAGCAAGGACCCAAATGGCTCCAGCAAATGCTATGATACTATATGATGTCCATGTCACTAAAGATACGCGATGATACAGGCGAATAAAAGGCTCACTTGATTCCTGTGGAAGCATCATGGATATACATCAGATTATGCGAGCGCAAAAAAAAGACAGAGCCGTACCATAGACGAGGGTCTCCATCCATACAGTGATGAGGGAGATCTTTGCTGCTGGCGGGACCGCTTCTGTCGACGATGCCATAGTACCGCAGTTGGTGATGAGAGTAGAAACGAGAGACGGAGTAGAGACGGGCGTGTCCTTCAATACCTAGTATTTGTATCATTGCGCGGTAAATCTGCCCACCGGAGGGATGCTCGACGGATCCATCGTGGTGACCGATCTCAGCCTGAGCTCCGGAGCCTAGGCCGAAGCAGAAAGATCGATAACTGGGAAGTTAAGCGTTGTACTTGTGTGGGCGTGTGGCACACAGAGGACCCTGGCCTCCCTCGGTTGAACGTGGCCAATACCGCCACTGCAGTGACGCGTGATGTTCTGATATCAAGTCGAACTTGTTCTCTTAGGCTGATCGCATCTGTCGCGGTGGACTGTATCCTCGTGGCCGTGTCACAGTACTCTGTACTGATAGCTGGGTGCCACGAGGTGTGGAGATATGTCATTCTGGACGCCCACGAAGGCATAGATGCGGCATCGAAGTTGATATTTCCCTGACTGTGCTCCAAGGCTTATGATAGAACTTCAGCCGCATGCACGGCAGGGGGGCACATGGTGAGCGTGCTTGTCATAGGTGAACTTTGGTGTCACAAGTCGAAGTTATGATGCTAACTATCATCTAGTGCGAATTCCGTCCTGTATCCATGCGAGTCTTTCTGCATTCTAAATGCGAGTTAATTTCCGAGTCAGGCAGGAAGCTTGCCGCTGGCTCATAGCTGCTGCATAAGTGAAGCGCTGTTGAATATTCGAAAACTGAAGGCTTCAATGACTCACGGCGACCTTCAAAAGTTATCAATACTAGGGGAAATGGCACTGAGGGCGGTCATCCACCTCCTTTTGAGCTTTGAGAAATGTATGAGTGGAATGTGGACACTGTCGGCTGCTCGGCTCCAGTTTCCTCCAGTGGTTGGGCAAACGCGCATCTATGCGGAGACTTCTTCCCATTTGAGGTGGCAGAGACAGCTGAGCTTTTGAATTTCACAGTTTCATTTGATGGCCACTAGTCTGGCTGTCTTGATGCCATCTCGCACGGAGTCAAGGTTGCCTCAAGGCATATGCAAGCCAGAGAAGATGATTAATTGCTCCTGCCGGAGTTCACTCATGCCATGTGCATGGGTCTGGTTCGTATTTTCGTTTCGAAGTCTTGATTATATTTGGGTGGGACCGTGGACGAGATATGAGCCATAACCCCGCTTCAGTTCCCTGTCTATCAAAATTGGAAATGCTTCTTGCATCCCGTCAAGTATACAAGCAGCCGGTTCTCAGAGGCTTAGACTCAATTCAGATGTTGGGGCTTCAAATGGCTTGTGTTTTCACAGCGCTTCCACCGAATCGATGTCGAAGGCTGAAATTACTAACGACCCTGAGTTAGACTACAATGTACGGACCTGTCAAGCTACGAGATGTGTTCATATGGTATTCGACTCCAATCATAAAAGCTCAAATGCTGTGCTGCAGAGCGCATAAATCTATTGCTCACACCATTCTCCCCTAGAACGCACCTCTATCTTCCACTTGGCTTTCCAGGTCAAATACTGGGTTTTCGCCATGACAATCACCCAGGCCGAGGGTAATTTACTGGATCAGCCGATGTGGGAAGTATTTGAACGACATGGTAAGATTAACTACACGAGGTATTATCATGCGATTTGGCCTGAGCTCGGAGACTAACTTGTCGCTTGTAGGCCCATGATAGGGTCAGAGTCCTATCAACTTTCGTGGCACAATTTTGGAGATGGGTACGTGGACTGGATGTATGCTCCCCTATGCGAGTGACCTTTGGATTCTGATTGCACAGCATGGGCGATGTTACGCTGGGGCTCACTTTCACGACAAGTCTTGAGGTAAGCGTATTTGCGGAGACGTTAAAGCACGCACTCTGCTATGTGAGGTGGGGTCGTCCCGCGAACTGCCCTACACCGCTGTTGAATATCCTATGTTGCGACTGTAGATTCATTTCACCTCTGCTAGCCTCTACGGCCGAGAAAGGAGTTCACGACCCTCAGCTGTGGTCATGGGTATATACTCCCGCCTCTGACGCAGCCGAGGTGGAACAATGGGCTACCGACACTCTTGAGGTCGTCGAAGGCCCCGATCCCGATCAGTTTGTGAATAGCAAACTCGCAAATCGACTTCCCTATACCCGATCCAATGGCTTAGTCCAATACTGGAAGCTTTTTCTCCTCAAGACCGAGGGTGATCAGTTGGGCTTGTTCATTCATGGCATACATGCGGTTTTCGATGCACATCCCAACTTCAATCTGTTTCAAATCCTTTTCGAGGAGGTAGCATGCCCGGATCCTACCCACCAGGTGAACAGCCTACCGTGGGGAGAGGAATGGAAAAGCCTTGCCCCTGGGATCATCAGTGCGACGGGTGGTCCTCGTCCGGGATGGGACACTGAAGGGATGGAGTTAGTGCGGTTCTTCAAGGAACAACTCACTAGTAGCGTCGTACGCTTTATTTCCCCATCATTCCCTGTTTTCGTGATCGCTGACCGTCTTGTCGCACTTCAGCCGACACACGCACTTCGATCAGCACGCCCCAAAATAACAGATATGAGCAAAGTTATCAGAATAGTGGAAGTAGTCGACCGCGAGACCTCGCGACGCATCATCCAGGGTACAAAACGGAACGAGAATTCTTTAACCCAACTATTCGAAGCTGCAGCAGTCCTAGCAACGTTCACCCTCAATCCCGACTTTGTGGGTCCAGCGGAAGAAGCGCATGTCACATTGGATGTCAGCTTGTGTGTACTTTTATGTCTTCGCTAGTGTTCTAATTGTGTCTCATGACGGACACCGCTATCATAGCATTTCTTTGATGAAATACTTAGTTCCTCCGTATGACCAAAAGTCGTACATTGCAGGATGCTCAGCTTTGGTACCCCTCAAGATCCCATACAGCTCGTTCATGCATGAAGAAAATCCACTGAAGCAGATCTGCCGCATAATGGATTGTGTTCGTGCCCAGTATTCACGGTATCTCTCCAATCCACACCTCCCTCACCTTACTGCACGTCTTTCTACACTGATGCCCTTGATGACGTCTCCCGAGCTGACGTGGTCCAACCAATGTGCCACAATCATGACCAATATCGGAGTCATAGAACGTCTGATGAGGTTCAAGTATTATTCTGGGGACCCTGGTCGAGACCCAGAGGTGAAGCCGGCTATCACCGTTGACAACTTGCACTTCGGTCATCGTGTGGCACACGGACTGAGATTGTAAGACCATCTCATGACTTGATGAAACAACCTGTGCTGACTGATGAACCAGATTGATACATTTCTGGACTCTGGATGACTGCATTCATGTTCAAGTGCGGGTGGGTAAATATTTGCATTGCCACCCTTTCTCGCACACTTATGAAAAGAAATACCAAGGGAGGTGATTGCTGGGACGAAGAGCAAATTCGTACTATGGTACAACAAATGATCTCATACGCCGATTTGATCTCGACAACCAATTGACCCAATGATCCAAACTGTGACCTATTTGCGTAGTCTAGATGTAAGCAGCGGATAAATGTATAAGTGCACCGTCAAAACCTGAAGCCGGCGATTATGATACTTATCCCAAAAAAATTGTATATGGAATGTGTAGAAGACATAATGACATGACCATGACACAAGCAATAACTATCCTTGGCTGAACTTTCTTATATTTAATCCTAGACTGTCCAGAACTTCTGTTAGCCTCCCTGTTACAAAACATATTGGACACAATGGTTTTGCTATAGGTGTATCTAGAAGGACATTGTACTTACTAAGTCCTAGACAGTCACCAGAATTCAATGCCACTTGTTTTGCATGAAACACTCACAAGAATCTCAACTCTGCCATGGAGAAAATAGGACCCACATTAGGGTCAAGCCAATGCAAGCTGTACACCATCCCAAAATGCTGGACAAAAGCACCCATCTTTCCACACTCAGTGAAACCTCGCTGGAACATTCTCTTCCACTTGTTCGTCCTTTTTGGGATATGTCACGTGTATGGGCGCTTAACACTTCGCACAGAAAACTATAGTAAGATTGGAACAAGAACACTCCTCGACAGATGGTTCTAGGGACCTGCACTGTCCGGTAATCCGGAAATGCCTTACCGGTTGTCCAAATATCAGTGTCAAGACAGCGGTATTTAGTGCATCATTCATATCTATCAAGGAAGCATCTGCCGGTTTGGAGCATGGATTTGTGCCAGAAGATTGTTGTTGTGCGATAATCTCGCGATTCACTGTTAGCATAAGCCGAACTATCTTCAGATGCTTGAACCTTAAGTTCTGGATTAGTGACATGCAGACCTTGCTGTCTTGGGCAACCTCAGACAGACTAGCGTATACAAGGAAGCTTGAAAAGTGGTCACATGCATGCTACGGTACGTTGCTGGGCTTATCGCACGTGCCCCTGCTCCGCGATGCAATTACTCGTTCCCTAGTGTGCGGGAAGCACCGTTACGTCGACGAGTCAAGGTGATAATAGTTCGGACCTAGTGCTTGCACATATACTCGCATGCGATATAGCTTTTAAATTGGCTTTTCCGTCAGCGACTTCCCAATTCTCCGACTGCATTGCAGTGCTCGGTATTGAAATGCCGCGCTGCCGGTATGCTGTGGTACTGACCCGATGTTCTGCATAATTCTAGCCATCGTGATTGAGAGGGTTCATATATCTGTCATATGAAGCAGCACGATAATCCAAATTCACTATGAGCAACGTTCCATGCCCGGTGAGATGATCCGGCTTCCAGCCTGACCTGACAATGACCCACCTATGCACGCTAGCCAGATGGACTAGACGGTCTGACCATTCATCAACTCTTGTCACCTGTGGCGCTCATTTGTTCACACGTTCTGCTGTCATCACAGGTTTGCACAGGTGGAAGCCAGCATGTTTGACACCTTACAGAAAGAAGCAGCGCTCCTTCACAAACAATTGTGACCGCATCTCCCCGAAGTGGACAGTCGAATACCAATGATCCCTCTCCTCTCGGATTGCTTGAGGGATATAATGAATAGAAGAATCGGTCAGATTTTTTCGGCTATCGTGGGTTCACGCCTCCAAACTTGCAGTAAGTGGTACTTGTCTAGATCCGGCGCTCAGCAAGTACACTGATCAACGGCAACAGCGCTATGGGTCTGAAATCTCTATTCAATTTGCTTGAATACATGGACGCCGCATGGTGGCTCTGGGTATCCATGTTAAGGTCTGCACTACAGCGAATTCGACCCATCCCCTGTCCCACAGTGCGCAAACAAGATGTATGCTCTGGCATCTCTTCTTCCACTGGATCTATATCCGGCCATACAGATGGTTGGGATATCGTCAAGACCACCGCAAGTATAGTCGTTGGTCCCAAGTATCAGATACCATTCACTTGCATCCATAAAGCATTCTGCGTCCAGGCGTCTGCGAACAGCGAACATACAGCAGTCATGGATTATTTAGGGCACCAAATTACATACAGAGAGCTGGAGTTGAGCTCTGCACGACTCGCACTGGCCCTCTATGCGCGCGGAGTCGGTTATGGGACACGTGTTTGCCTTTTGTCCACTCGATCCATCTCTCATGTGGTAGCTATCCTCGCTACTTTGCGCATCGGCGCAGCCTACATTCCTCTTGACGGAGGTGGCATCACCAATTATTCCTTGGCTGCAGTTTTGGAAGACGCGAAACCGGTACTCACATTGATCTCTCAGTGTCACATCGACCGCACTGAGATCGTCGCTGGCCGCTCAACGTACTGTTATCTTGAAGACATCATTGAAGAATCACGAGTACTGGATATCAAAACCTCTTCTTTGTGTACATTGGAAGATCATGTTCTTCCATCAGACTGCGCTTATATCATCTATACATCCGGTATGACCTTTGCAATCAGGTAGTAAAGTACTCATGATGAACTTACACGCATGTACAGGAACGACTGGAAAACCTAAGGGCGTTAGTGTCAGCCATACAAACGTTACTAACCGTGAGTAAATTCGACTGGTCTTCGAGACCCTTTGCTCAGTGAATGCTGGCTGTGCAGTATTATGCTCTCCGCCGGGTAATCTTGGGATCTCCCCAGGTACACACGTGGCTCAACTGTTGAATATTGCATTTGACATGTGTGTCTGGGAGACACTAGGCTGCCTTTTGAACGGCGGCACGCTCCACATGCGCGGACCTCATCGAGTAGACTGGTTGAAGGTTCTGAGGACAGTAGATGTCGTTATTAGCACACCATCGATACTCGTGTCTCATGATCCAGCGGATTATCCGAACATCCGAGTGGTCGCTACTGCTGGAGAGTCATGCCCAGTAGCACTTGCTGATAGGTGGGGACAGAATGCTACGTTTTACAATTGTTGTGGTCCTACAGAGGTATATGTTTTGTAGGCGCGATTGCAGTTACTATTGTTAACGAATTATCACTTTCAGGTAACTATTGTCAACACCATGCATCACCACTCTCTCGGGACACCATTGACGATTGGGAAGCCAACGCCAAATAACACGATCTATGTCCTTGACGATAACCTGCAACCTACGCCGCGCGGAATGCCGGGCGTTATGTGGGCTGGAGGGCCCTGTGTTTGTCTAGGGTATGTCAATCGTCCAGAACTCAACAGGAACAAGTTTGCACGAGATCCCTTCTCTCCCGAAGGGTACGATAATCCCCTCGCTATTATTTTCAACCTCTGATTTATCTAGATTTTTATAGAGGAATGATGTTTAATACGGGGGACATCGGTCGATTAAGAGATGACGGAGAGCTAGATTACCTTGGTCGGATTGATGATCAAGTAAAGATACAGGTATTTCGCATCATGCACATTGGTCTTCCTACTTCTGAAGATCATTCTAGGGCTTCCGTGTCGAGCTAGATGGAGTGTCGGCATCGATAAGCGCCTGTCCTGGTGTTGTCCAAGCATGCGCTATGCTGATTCAAGATGAGTTGTGGGCGTTCTACACGCCTATAGAGGTGCCCGCGGACGCTGTTCAGGATGTAGTGGCACAACTGCAGCCGAAATACTCTGTGCCGAAGAGATACAGAGCGCTGGCTGCATTACCATTAACCAGGTGAATTATCATGCATCGTCAGCTATTTAGCAAGTACTTATGAAGCTTCAGTAACGGGAAAATTGACAAGCGAGCCTTGCAATCCGAAATTTGAGCATACCGATTGAGAATTCAACCGTTCTTATCCACTCTTACCCAGACTTCCACTCCTACCCGAAAATCATTATACACTTTGCGCGATTCATATATATACCTATCAATCCATCTTCAGCCGTTACCCGTTCTTGTCCTTTTTTATTTTGTTTTGTTTTTGGTCCCTCTATTGTCTGTGAGGGCTTAGCCCTATGTAGACAGTAAGTACATTGTATGTAGACCAATGGATGTGCTGGATGTAATTAAATGTAGACATTGGGAACACAACCTGATGGGAAGAGGGGGTTGTCAGGGTGTTTCTGGAGTACTGTGAGTGGCCAAGAAGAATGGTGAAGAGAAGGAGAATGGTATATGGAGGAGAAAATAGAAAGAGACATTACCAAGACTGGTGTGGCAGACCAGCAGGTGTATGTCCTGGCCAATGAAGGTGAGGGATGCAGGTCTAAACCCCCTTGTCAAAGTATCCCCTGATACTAGTCTCAAAACCCTAACCCAAACTCACTTTCAATATTGAAGGCTATTAAGTAGTTGAGGGTAAGCTGGTAGGCTTGGTGAGCAACTAGCTCTGAGAGTGATTAGACAAGTAGAGGATGGGGTAGGCAAGTATAACAAGTCTGCTCTTCCTTAATGTATTGCTCTGATATTTATACATAAGGGACCAGACTCCTAATACTGTTACACAGCTGGCACAACATACAACAGGTCTTTCAGTAAAGCTAAGTCATATGATAGCTGACTTAGTGATTCAGAGGTTTGGCTAGGCTTTCAAGGGGCTTAGTAGTCATTGTGTCAAGTAGACAAGTAAGAGGCTATAACTGCACCAAGGTCTAGCATATTGAACCAGATGCTTGTGGTGAAATATATTATTACAGTCTGATGTTGAAATATAAATGTGGCAATAAACCTTACCTGTGTTGACTAGACA